GAAAGAGTCAGCTCCAGTCTACTCAGCTGGCCAGATTCTCCAAGCAGAGTACATGCTGTGCTCCCAGCTGCACCCTTTGGTTCTTTCCTCCCAACATCTGTCCCTACTGCTCATCACCCTTAGGTGCTCATGGTCATGTGAGTGAGAACTTTCAGGAGTAAGAAAAAGGGTGGCAAAGATGACAAATGTTCACAAATATCCTCAACACCCCTCCTGTGAACTCATTCTGTACCTTCACAGCAGGGTGACCTGGTATCTCAGTGTAAATTGATGCCTGATATTTCATAGCCTACCATTTGTCTGCTTTATGGTGAGCAGAAAATTAAGGTGCTCTTAATGCTGTCTGTTGATGGTGCTGTAATGCCTTCAGCCACTGCAGTGACATGGAAAAAAAATGCATTTTCCAAAATTCAGAAAAGTTCTGAAGTGATGAGACCTGAGGACTGAAAAAATTTAAAAAAAAAAACCTGTTACCACATGCCTTCTCTCCTCACAGCCACACGCTCTGATCGTGGCCCTTTGCTCTGGAGAAACACAGTATTCTGACACACTCCCTTATTGTAGCCTTCCAAATACATGCAATAGTATTCAACTTTCCATAAAAGGCACAACTTCACTGAGTGTCACAATTAATTAAAAAGTGTAATTTTTGGAAGTGTTGGTTTTGAGCAATATTCTCTATTCTCAATGGGACTCTGGGATTCAAAACCATCTTTTTTTAAACACTGGCCACTTGGTTTAAATGTCTAAATGAAAACAGCTTTCTAGAAAATTTGCAGTGAATCTATCCTTAGCACTTTATGGCCAAAAGGTCACACAAAAATCACAAAATTCAGTACATTCCTACACAGACCTTGTTAAAGACCTTGGCTAGAATGAAGACCTACCTGCTGAAAAGTCAAGTCTAGAATTCAAAGTTTATGTGCTTAACCATTTGTGCCTCTAGAAACACTTGCAGTGCAAAATAAAAAAGGAGAAAAAAGGAAAAAAAGGTGAAATTACTTACATATTTTTCACTTCAGTGGGATAAACATTGTCTGAATCTGTATCAACTAGTCTCAAGAGAATATTTAAGTGTAAAACTTAGCAAACTTTTGACAGATAATTGAGATGTGATTTAAATCACCAAATGCCTCTGAAAAGGAGATGAAGATGCTCTCTCGCTACATGGTGCTTACCTTCTAGTTCAAAGAAAATGACTGTAATGAAAGGAAAGATCCTTCCTTCTCAAAGCTTGAACTGATTTCCAGCTCAGATAAAAACATTTCTTTATGCATTAACTACATGGCAGGAGGTGGTGCTCTTAATCCACATCTTGACTACAAAAGAAAAGAATTTTTTTTCTTTTCTTCCTTTTTTAATATTGCACAGTAGGAACATATGAAGAAAAGCATATTTTGTAACATGGTTAATTTGGTTTCTGACTACACCACACACTGCAGTCAATAGTGGTAAACATTTTTTCTTAAATGAGACATGCTACCTTCAGAGGGTTTGAGAATAACAATCTTTCTGAGAAAATCTGTCCAAACAGATGGCTAAAAATCCAAGGAAACAAAATGAAACAACTACCGATGAGCTATCTGAATAATAAAAATCTGTACTGAACACCTACTTGGCAGTCCCACATCAAACTAACCCAATATATCTGCAAATCTAGAATTCAATCTGATTTTAATTTGGAAACGAAGTAATTATTTAGTTTTCCTTGAAAGATGTGTGTTGGTGCAATACTACTGCACCCCGCCTCCCCCGCTCCTCCCCAGTATTTGTTCAGGTGTCAAAGAATTCCACATATATTGATGAAGTCAGTACAATCTTCCAGGAAGAAAGACACAGAAAGCATGTAAGTTGCATATAAACACACACCACAAGGATTACTGATGAATGTAATAAAAATAGACACATTGTTACCTTTAACCTTCAACAATATAAATACATATATATATATATATGTGTGTGATCTCATTAAAATACTTCCACAGATGTATACACGTAAGTAGTTCTTCTTAAGATGAAAGCCAGTCCATTTTCCACAGTGTCTGTGAAACCTCCATGGCTAGAAAAGAGTCTGGAGTGATTTTTCCAAGGGATGTAGTTCTGCCAGCATGACCAAATTCAATTTATTCCTTTTTTTGCTCTTCCCCTTCAGGTTCACTTGGCACCTCTTGCCATTTCTTGTCCATCTCTTCTTTGCAGCTCAGGAAGGCTTCTTCCAGATGGCTCATGGAGTTGGCGAGGTCTGGGTTGGTACGTATGACTACCATCTCATAAGCCATCCAGGCTGCCTGCACTGCAAACCCAATAGATACTGCTAGGCCAGGAATTTTGGCTAAATAAAAGCAATGGCTAATTCAATAAACGAATAAAGGACATTAATCATTATCAGTCTCGATATTATGTCAGGCCTGCTGTAAAATAAAGTGGAAACTGCCCACAATAATACTCAATATTAAATAAAAGACTGTTCAGCATTACTTCTTTATGTCTCAGAATATTTCAGAATGGAAGCATACAGATGTCAATTACAAAAGGGAGGCAGACACTTTTACCTAAAAATTACAACAAAGTAATCAAAAATAAAGTTTCAACAGACTGAGAATAAATGAACCAAAGCACCCTCTCTCCAGACTAGTTACAGTAAGGACGGTTGTATTATGTGAGGAAGAGTGAGATCAAGGAGGCTGCAGCATAGAGGTGAAAGATTTTAAGAACAACCTAATTAATTAAATTGATTTTAAAATAATGAGGATAAAGCAGAGCAAATAGTTTTAGCACTTACTTCATACTTCCCTTTTGTTTTACCATAAATTGACTGTAGTTTTCCCAATGGCACTCATAAATTGTGTTTAATTAAAAATAGTTTAACAGTTTCCATCTATTCCTGTTTAGTTGCACAGTTTCTGACAGAATTGTTGCAGAGCACGGAGAGGAATATGCTATCCTGTCCATACATACAGGACCAAGATTAAATTTGCAGAGCAAATTTATTCTAGCTGAGGAATTAAATGCATCATGAACTGACCTGAGAGGTACTATGTATCCCACCATTTTTCAGAATTAAGTCTCATTTTATAGACTATGTTTTAATAATTGTAAATTAAATACCTTAGTAGTATTTTTGTTTTCAACCACCACTCAGAACGAAGCATCTATTACCTATTAATTTTCAATTCTGAGTGATCTGAAACTTCTAGATTATTTACATGCTTCCTCCCAATTAATTAGAACATTATTTGATGATTATTGTTTCCGCTTACATTTCTATCACATGGAAGTTTACAGCAATAAATACAAATAATAAATCTCCAATGTCTTCACTCTAGTAGACAAATCGGTATCATTCATAATAAAGACCTGTACCTGTTAGTTTTTCCATTTCCTCCAGAAGTTTTTCTAAGTCCCTGTTCAGGTCCTCCATCATCTTTACCATGTTATCATAGTTTCCTTCTTGAGGTTCTTTCTCAGCCATCTACAAGGAAAACAGGATTTTAATACATTATTTGACTTTGAAGTCAATTGAGAGAAAATAATATTGCAATAATTTCTTTTAAAACCTAACATATAAAGAAATATTAACACATTAATTCATTAGAAACTGACCTTGAAGTTACTGGTCATCACCTGTATGACACATACTATTTTCAATCAATTTTAAGAATAATTTAAGTAGAAAGAATCACACTCAACTATGCTGTGTTTGTGCCAAATAAAGATTTTGGTATCACTAATAACAAAGATCATTGCGTCAAACAGTTCAATAGAAAATTTTATCTATCTATCTATCTATCTACAGGATGTTACAGTTGTCTTCAAGCTTCTCTCCTAAATACTCTGACGTAGGGCAATTAGTAATTTTCAAAGTTAGTTGTAAAATTCCCATTTCTATCCCATATTTCACACTTGCACGCTACCTATGCTAAGTGCTGTCGCCATATAATCATATGACTAACATCTGCTTAAGTTGTAGGCAGTAAAATTTCAGCAAGTAAAGTTGCCTGGGGCAAAAACAGAGAATTAGAGGCCAAATTTAAGCAATTAAAAGTTTTGAAGCCTTGATATTAACCAAAAAAATGTGCCACACAACCTTGCCTTTAATTTCCTTTTCTGCAAACAACCGATGGATGGGATGAAGCTAGGAAGGAGACAGAACAGCTTCAGTGTGGTGACTATACGCGTCGCACAGCACAGGTTTTTGTCAGCTTTCTTTTTTTATATATATGATTTCTCAAAATCAGTGGGTATCCATTTTCTGGGCTTTTTTTTAATTATGATTTTTTATTATTATTGCCGATGAATGTGGAAGGAATGCAAGGGTTTATAACGGCTTTCCACCATTTTAAAGCACTGCCAAGCCTTATCCAGACGCTTGTTGTTCAAGGCCTCTTCGCACGAACAGTTTCATTAGATACGAACCTAAGGGCAAACCGTTTACCGCAGACACCTGAAAAAGCCCAAAGCCCCTGTTTTTTTGCCCACGACGGGCACCCTTTAACTTCCCACCAGAACCACAGGCGCTGGGGCCGGCTGACGAACCACCCTCAGCGGGCGGCCGCTGCCCACCCGTAATCAGCCCTCACCCCCCCCCGCCCTCTCTCTTCTTTCCTCCCTCCCTCTCT